TGAACTTATCTTTCATCTAATTGGTGAGTTTTCCATCTTTTTTATTTGTTTGTTTGTTTTGTTTTTTTAAATGACAGTTTGTAACATAAAAGACTCTGGATTCTTCTTAGACATTTTATGCAATAGTCTATAAAAAAATTTGCTTTAAAAATAAGAAAATACGTTACACATTTGGAAGTGATTTCAACAGGGACTTAAGAATGGCACTTGTCTCTTATTGCTGAATTCTAGAACATACAAATTACAGACACACAAAAAATGTTATATATAGTTACTGTTATACCACCCCTGCCCTCCAAGCAAAGCAAAGCCCCTCTAACTGTTTAAGGTCTGCAACCAATCCAATTTACCTCAGGTACAATTTAAATGTATGATGCATGCTACAACAAAACCATGGTAGGATGCCAACAGGGTCCTTAAGAAAGTTTTCCTCTAAATCTCTAGAAAGGAGCTTTGAAAGAAAGCAAGGATTACAGTCAGCTAGAAGGGAGGGAGGGGACTTACCTCAAACCAGCCAAGCGGAAATCAGAGCAGTAATTCTACAAGTCGACAGAGTACACTTTCAAAGCTGTAATAGTGTGAAGAAGTGCTGGGCAGCATGGCCTGAAGGCAGCACTAATACACTGATGACTAATGGCTGGGCTAGGGCAGACAATGAATTTGGGGCTTGAAAACGAACAGAAACCATGCAGTACTTTGACAAATGGGCTTTCACGATTTCATTCATTGAATAACCTTTAAACACAAAATTGGCTTGGGTTCTCTTGGGAATGACATGACATGTTGCTGGACAATGATGTAAGTATTTTCTTTTTTAATTATGACTCGTACACAAAATGCTAGCACACCATATAAGAGGATATAGCTTATAGATACCACAGAGGCAGACAAGGAACTCAATACAATATTGCCTTTCAGAAGGGGGCTGAAATGTCCCAGTGCCACCTTATTAACTATGTAATGGCTTTTTCATTCAGCTTCTTTAGAAAGCCATAGATTTTCTGAGACATTTTGTCGGGTTGAAATATACACAACCAGAACAAAAAACACTTTCAGGTGAAACATGCACACACACACACACACACACACACACACACACACACACACACACACACATACCCCACAGTGGCAGCTAAAAAATGTATACAGAACTATTGTGCACTTAGAATTTCAAATGGAAAAAGTGTACTTTTCTGGGGCTAGGCAAAGAGAAAGTGTAAAATGATGGAGGCAACACGCTAAGTTTGCAAACAAATGAGCTCATAAAGACATTGCACACACAGCTTCTTTCCAGCAACTCTCTTCCCTCACCCCAACAGAATTAGCTCTGCAGTTTAAAAATAGTAAAATGTGGCAATTTTTAAAGAGAGAATGAAATATGGAAAGAGTCTCTAAATTAACAAGGACCCCTTACTTCAGACGGCACAGCCTTCAGCAGGCCCTAAAAACTTAAGAAAAGGATCCTAAGACAAGAAGCTTAGTGAGCTCATAAAACAGTTGCTGGAGCCAGGAACACATAGCATATTTAATCTGCAAACTGTGAGAGTCCACAGTGACTTCAGCAAGATCTGAGGCATGCCCTCAAGGTTTGCTGGGATCTGGGATTAGGGGGTTGATAAGAACCTCCACTGCCCATGGACATGTTTTTCTTCTGCAGTTAAACACAAATGCATGGAGACATTTGACTGCTGCTTGGCGTTACTGCTCAAGTTATATAAAAAGCTTTGCAGCTCCTTTTGCTGTCAATATATCAAAGTTTAAAAAAAAATCATCAAAGTGTGAAATTTCATTTAAAGTCTTCACCAGTCTACAGCTCTATTTCACAGGCCCATCAAATAAAAGTAAAGATGAAAAATACACTGGAAAGTACTTGAGAAAGTTTGCAGCAGCACTGGGGCCCAGAGTTGTTTATTGTCTGCCTTTATTTGCTTTGAAAGTAGAACAGATCAATTTCCACGTAGAAAAATGACAACATGAGATGAAGGGCAGCAGATCCTCCCAGGCTTTAATAAGAAGACAACCTGAAATCATTATTAGAGAATCTTTTGTTTAACAAATACATATGTGTATTTGTCCTGTAGCCATTTCAGCATTTTGACTGTCTCTCGACAGAAAATTTGGCAGAAAATTCCTTGAATCTTCCAAAACAAATCAGACCCACCTCATATATGAATGCCAGAAGAACTAAACCCCCTTCAAAGAACTCTTCAGCTGGGGATTTACAACAATTGCAGAAAAAAGAAGTCTGACTTTTAAGATAATCTACTATAGTCTAAAAGCATTAACATTCCATTACTAAGGTTTTCTTGAGCATTTCATGACTCACTGGTTCACTTCTTCGAGACTGGTTTTTCTTAGAGCATTACTGTCTCCATATAAGTGAGTGCATACAGCAATGATCATTAAAGTGTTTCCTTTCATAGGCTTCCAAACTGTCCTCAGAAAGCAACTCGGGGAGGGGAATGCAGCAAGCAGCATGCCTTACACACAGGACTCACTTCTAAATGGCTAAGCCTAGAGGAAGTCTGTAGTTCTTCCAGCGTGCAGGTAATTAAGAAAACTTCACGGGCTTCGAAACAAAGGAAGAGTCCAACTTTTAGGCTTTGGAATCCAATTGTTAAATGAACAATTCTTTCATTAAGTAAGTAATGAAATAACTCAAAAGGGTCATTTTTCATCAGTGCTGAATTTACTCATTTCTGTCTGTGGTCCCTGGCAAATCAGACACACAATAAAAATAGTGTGTACACCAGAGTTCAATCAGGGAGTAAGAACATGTGAAAAGCAAGGGGAATTGGTAGGCATTGGAGCTAAACCTGCCAGTCTATTAGCAGTAAAGCAATCTATATCTTTTAAAGTGTTTCTGCCTGTGTGAAATTTCACTAGACACCTCTCACATTGAACTTATTCATGCCTCTTAAACCAAAAGCTTCCCTAGGCTGACTTTAAGAATTACATACCCTGAAAGGATCTCCCCTTAGGCAGGGAGTTTCTAATTAAATAGCTTTTAGTGTAAAATAAACTCTCTGCTCTGTATAAATATGCAATTTCAGCTCATTTAAATGTTATTTCATGTTTGTTTTAAGGTCTGACTATAATCTAACTGGCCACAGAGCTTGTGGCCCAGATTGTTAAAGCCAATATTTCCTAACATAAACAAATTCTGTAGATTCTCTGCACAGTTTACATTGTTAAAACCAACCAGCACTGCTTTAATATATCCTCTCAACTGAAATACTGCTCTGCCTTAGAAAAATGAAGTGATTCTGAGGTTATTTCACTATTTTAAAACATAGCATTTTCCTGCTTCAAAATAATCTTGACACATGTAATTAAGAAACTGTCAGACTATTATTAATTTTTAATTTAAAACCCAAATGAAATAATTACGGGAATCAATCAATAAGGCACCTATTCAAATTACAGAGCAATTACATAAATACTCAAAATTAATACTTTAGGCCAGTTCTTGAAGAATTCGGTCTATAACTCGTGAAGACACCAAACAGTACAAGCTTGTGACATGTGGAGAATGAAGGAAGGCTTTCCCCTTAAATAGACTAAAATAGGATGATTTTAGATGGCACGGCACAGCACCCTTCCCCCAGCTATGGCCAATGCTCTCAAGCTGCAACTCTTTTTCTAGAAGTTATTTCCACCAGACACATATTTCAAGAATCTAAAAAAAGAAAAAAGTGAGAGAGAAAAGAAAATGGCCTCACCCAAGTTCTGCACAAAATCATTTAGGAAAAAGGGGTCCTAATCACTTGAATTTTCAGCAGTGCACGTACTGGGCTATGGAAAGCTGTAATTGAGAAGGGGAGGAAAAGAAGGGTACGAGGTGTTTTTTGGAACTAATAATACCAGCGGGGCTAATGGCACTGCCCCTGTATTTGCACAGCGGCCGGCCCTCCATACCTCGAACTAAAGGGTTCTTTTACTTGAGGACGACAGTCCATCATTTCAAACTGAAGTGGCAGCTGGAAAATGTGGAACAGCTGGCACTGAGCTGGGAGAAAATGTTTTACATAAATATATGTACATATAAACTGGCAGAGGGCCATAAGCACTGTACCCGAGGCCAGAATCTATCTCACAGTCTACAACCAAGTTGGGGGTGGGGGGCGGTAAACGCGGTAAACGCGGTGCAGCAAACTTCCCTAAAGTGGTCTTTACACACACAGCTAAGAAAGCCTAAGGGATGGCGTGGTACTCAAAAAGGTGCACTCTGGGACACAGGCACGAAGTTCAGGGAAGGATACCAAGTTCACCGAGGGATAATAGGCAAAGGCCTGTCCCGGTGTGAGGGCATGTGGCCATCTGCTGAAAAGTCGCTTCATCAACTTTCAAGTTTAGGATCAATATTAACTCCACATCCTCAGCCCCTGTTGCAACTCCAGAAAGTAGCTCTAGCAGAGTAGAGTGATCCATACCCAACTCTGCTCTGTGCAAACTCGGGCTCTTAAGTGAATGCCGCAAGGACCACGGCTACTTTTCTTTCTTTCTCTTTTCTTTCTGCCTGCCCTACCTCTCTGCAAAGGAAGAGACAGAATTCCAAATCACCCACAGATGGTACAACTTTCACTTTTCCTCTCCCACCGCGGAGGCGCGCCCTCCATCCGCTCACCCCGCACCCCCACCCTCAGAAGTGAAGGCGGGACCCGGGCGAGCCGGGCAGCCGCGGGCCCCGCGCATCCCCAGGCGGTGCGCGCCGGCGGAGCTGCGGATTGCGGCGGCGCGAGGACCAGCCGCAGCTCCAGGCGGCCCCAGCTCTGAGCGCACAGCACTTGGAGAGGAGTAGGCGCGGGCGCCGCCGCTGCAAACTTGGTCCGCACACCCTGGGGCCGGCAGGAGGGCTGCAGTCCGTCTCGGGAGCGCCGAGTCCAGCCCCCAAGAGCGCGGGAAGGCGCGAGCGCACGGAAGCTGCTCCGACGCCGCGCGGCGGCTCGACAGGGCGGGCTGCGGGGCCCGCAAAACAAAGAACTTCGGGCGGGACGTACCTGCGGCTGTGGCTGTCAGGTCCCAAATCCAGACCCGCGCCGGGCAGAGTGGCGGGCGGCTCGGGCTACCGTGGATGGCCCGGCTGGCCGCACTGTGCTGCCGTGGCGGGCATGGTGTAGCGCAGGCGGGCAGCGGAGCGAGCGGACGCGGCGGGGAGCGGCGGGCGGGCGGGCGAGTGTGCGGGCGCCGGCGGCGCGGCCCGGTCCGCTCCCTCCCGCCGCTGCAGCCCGCGCATCAGTTTCAGGGATCCTGTAATCTGATCCCTCTGAGTCACCGGCCCTGAGTGACAGTTCTGATTTGGTTCAACCGCGGGTGGGAGGAGAAAGAGAAAGAAAGGAGCCCCCGACCGTCAAGTCGACTTTCAGCGATCAGGGCCCGTCCAGGCCGAGCGCCGGGGTTGCAAAAGTTGAGCTCCGCTGCGCGCGGCCTTCGCGCTCCCCTCTGCGCGTTCCTGCGCTCCTCCTTCTCCCCGCCCTCCTTCCCCAAGTTTTCACAGATGTGGCCAGACTCTCCTCTTTCCCCGCTCCTTCTTCCTTCGCGCGCCCCCACCCCCGCCCGTCCCTCGAATTTCCGCCACTCCGGGGAGCGCTGGGGACGCGCCGAGCAGCGGGACACCGCCGCCGCCGCAGGGGGCGAAGTTGGGAAAAACTTGGGAATGCTGCTCGCCTTACTTTGCTTTCCCGCTCCTTCCAGGCCGCGCCCGGCGGGGTCCCGCTTCACGTGCGGATCCCAGTGCGCTGCGCTGCGGGCGCCACTGAGGCCGCGCGTCGGGCCGGGCAGGGCTGGCGCGGGCAGCCGGGAGCCACGCGCTCCACCGCCTCCGCCCCTCCCGGGTCCTCACACAGACACATCCAGGCCTGCTCCTCCTCTTCCCCCTCCTTGACCCCGCGCCCGCGCGGCGCGCCAGGCCCCACCCACCCGGCAGGAGGAAGGGGCCCGCGGGTGATGTCACCCGAGCCCTCCGGGCCTGCGCTCCCGCGCAGCGGAGGAACCGGGGATCGCGCGCTGCCCGGCGCTGCGCCCATGCCTTCTCTCTTGGCTTTCCCGGCTCTCGCCTTGGACACCCCATCGTTCCCTGGGGACCTCTCAGATCACCACTGCCCCACCCCCGCACACCTCCTGGTACTTTTCCCTAGGCCAAGCCCGAAACTTCCTCTCGCGGGATGATGCTTTTGAAAGTTCAGGACTTTCCTACCCGTTGCTTTCATCTGCGTTTGGGAAGTGAAAAGTCTCACCACGCAGCCTGCTGTCCCCCAAGTAGGACACTTTGCAAAGGACACAAAGACCCGAGCTGGGAGCCTGGACTTGAACGGGGTGCTTTTCTTTAAGATGCCAAGTGCCTGTCCTTGATTTCCTTTCGGGGCCCATATTACTTCAAAATGCTTTGCTGTCCTTCAACCGGCCAGTCCACTCTCATCTTTCTCTCCTTTCAAGGTACTCATCCCAACCTGCAACTTAAATGGGAGGATGTCAAGGGGGAGGAAGAAAGAAGAAAACCGGAGAGACATTCTAGAATCCCACAGTACAGTCGGCCCACCTACCCAGCCAGAAGTGCCTTGGTGCTCTGGGTGCTCTGTGGCGGCTGTCTTAAAGGCAGAGCGTGGGTGTATGAATAGCTATTATAATTTGAAGAATATTTTGAGATTCGCATGCTTAACTAAAGAAAAAAATTTAACATGATTGACAATGGTATTCGTTATTTGTTTCCGGGGAACTTGTTGCTTATCACAAAAACAAAAGTGGAGAGTGGCTTAAGCTTTCAGGGCAGAAACAGTGGAAATAAAGTAGTACTCTGGACACTGTATGTCTATTTTAAGCTTTCTCTCCACTGAAACTCTCTTTAAAACAAAAATAAAGGCAGGTGGGGGAGACACCCTTCTTCACTCATCTCTGAATGCAGGAATCTCAGAAAATAGAGGTAACCTTGACTCTCCCCTCAATAACTGGGCTCAGAACTAGAGCCTTCTCTAAACCTATTTAGACTCTGAGCCCATCTATGGGTGAGTTTAAGAAACACCAATTCTCATAAGAACCAAGATGCCTGTGGATTTCCAGTGAGATCATACCTGTAAAATTATAAAAGGTTGAAGTGTGTGAAAACCATGTTCTTTTGGAATTGCAAGTTTGTCTTTGGCTTGTGCATTTCTCCAGTGTCAGACACATTGTTTCTGGCACTCCGGGACTGCTGCTGCCTCCACTGTGAGAATGCAAATATTGCATCCTGATAGTTTGCTTTGCTTATCCAGTGGCAAAAAGGACAGCCCATAAATCAAGTATAAACTATATATTTTGACTTTTACTTCTAACAGTCTCCTAGCACATTTTGAGTCATAAGAATCTTGATTTGGGTTTCTAAAAAGACTGGAACCAAGAAACAGAAAACCTGCGAAGCTTCCCATCACACTTCCAGAATCTGAGAGAACAAGGCGGAGGAACTGGGCTGTGAATCCTGTTTGTTTTGCTCACCTTGGGTACTTAGTAGAGGTGGGCGGCTCTGATTTGCTGACAAACACATGAAAATGGGCATGTTCTGCAGAAACGGTGAAGAAAAAAAGTTGCCTTATTGGGAGTTAAATAATGCCATAGACTTTGAAACCATGTTAGCGTCATAACTCTTTTACCCATGGAAGTCTTGGGTACAAATTCCAAAATGAAAGGAGGAATTATTCAAAGGTGGAGAGGGCCTTAGAAATTAACACTTCACCTACCTCCTGTCCTGCAGCGGATCCCAAGTCATCTCCAACACAGTAGAGGAACTTCTGTTCTAATGAGCAGTTATTATGTAAGGATACATAGGGAAGACACTGCTCCTAGGTAGTGTCTGAATTCCATCCTTATACATTGCCTCCTGCCTTTTCTCATCAGTAATCATTTCAAAAGCAAATATCTTAGGAAATTGTCATAGCTCCCCAAGGTTAGTTAGTTTTATGTCAACTTGACACAACCTAGAATCATTTTGAAACGAGGACTTTGAATTGAGAAAATGCTCCATAAGATTTGCCTGTATTGTATTTTCCGGATTAACAACCACTAAGGGTGGTACCACTCTTAGGTATATGGGTCTAAGTTATATAAGAAAGCAGGCTGAGCAAGCCATGGGGAAAAGCCAGTAACCAGCACTAACCCATTGCCTCTGTTTCAGTTTCTGCCTCCAGGGTCCTGCCTTGAGTTGAGTTCCTGCCTTGGCCTCTGCCCATGATGGACTGTGATCTGGAATTATGAACCAAATAAACCCTTTCCTCCCCAAGTTGCTCCCTATTATGTTTTATCATAGCAGCAACAGATTCACTAACTGAAACATCTCACAATATTTAAACCTTTAAGATGGATTTATTTTTCAAAATGAAACAGGACTTGACAACCCTCTTGGTGGTTTGCCAGTGCTGCTCTAGCAAGCTATTATGTAGTGAGTGGCTTAAACAAGGCACGCACTAACTTACATTTCTGAGAGCCAGAATCCTAAGTCACAGTGTCTACAGGAAGAGTGTTTCCATGCAAAGTGTGGGAAAAGCTGTCCTTGCCCTCACTGGCTTCTAGGTGGGGTCACCAATCTGCTATTCCTTGGCTTTCAGTTACTCTGCTTATCTGTGCCTGGGTCATCTTAAGTCATTCTCCTTGTTCCTCTCTCCTCTTACAGGGCTGAGAGCTGTGGCTTATACTACTTCAGTCTGACTTTCTTTTAGCTAATTGCATCTGCAGCCTATTTCATAAAGATAGTATTCTGAAGTGTCTAGGTTTAGCATTTCTTTTTGAGGAGTAGAAGGCAAAATTCAGCTCAGCAAAATTGCCCCCGGGGTGGGGGGTATCTATTTGGAGGCTTAGTCCTCAGTGTATGGTGTTGAGATGGTTGGATTTGATTTGGGCTGGCTAAACCATTGGGGTGTGCCTCTGGAAGAGAATAAGTTAATGCTCTTATAGCCCTAGTTCTCAAAAAATCAAACTTACAAAAGAACAAGTGGGATCCCTTCCAATTCTCTGGTTTCCTATCTCACTATGCGAGAGCCTAATGTGTGTTCCCACCATATAGCTGTCTGTCTCAAGGCCCCCAACAGAGGTCAAACCGTTGAGGACTTTCAACTTTGAATTTTCAGCTTCTAAACCTCTGCTAACAAGCCCTTTGATTTCACAAAGCATTCAGCCTCAGATAATTTTGTAAGATCTATTTTATTCACATGTATATGTCTGTGGGGGGGTAGATACCTCACTCTCTCTCTCTCTCTCTCTCTCTCTGTGTGTGTGTGTGTGTGTGTGTGTGTGTTGGGGTGCCATTGGGAGCCATAAGAGGGCATCAGCTCACCCAGAGCCCCAGTTACAGACACTTGTAAGCTGTAAGCCTGGGGAAACAAACTTGGGTCTTCTGCAAGAGCAGTGCCCACATTTAACACATGAGCAATCTCCAGGCCAGATCATTTGTTTTATCAATGAGAAACATTCTAATAGAGACAAAAAGTGTATTTGAATAAAGAATCTACAACAGAGGGGACAATTTTAAGTCTGAAAACAGCTTCTCCTGCCTTCTTCAAGTTTTCTCTTTCATATTCCCTGTCATAAATATTCTTGCTCTCACCAATGCTGCCTTTTTTGTCATCTTGTACAGTTATTAACAGCTAATCATTGGGAAATTCCAAGGAGATGGTTCGTGGACACTGATTAAACTTCTGATTTAAAATAATGAAATTCTAGCTCAATTTGGCTTAAGCTAATTGAAAATGTTATGTTTCAGTGTGTTGTTAACTAGAAAGTCCAGAAATGTGTCTGTAGGCTTCAAGCAAGACAGGATCCAGGTGCTCTATGTCAGCTGGGTTCTGTTCCCATCTTTAACTTGTTTTTTTTTACTTGTTTTTTTTTTTTTTCAAGTCAGGGTTTCTCTGTGTAGCTGTATAGAGCAGGCTGACCTCAAACTCACAAAGATCAGCCTGCCTCTGCCTCCAAGTGCTGGGATTAAAGGAGTGTGATACCACCGCCAGGCTCTATTCCCATCTTTGAAGCCTACTTTAGTGCATATGAACTTTCTTTAGGCAACCAAGGAAGATGTGTAGAGGCAAGTACATTTTACATGGTCTGTCCTGCAATTTGTATTCCCTGCAATGACCACCTTCTCCAAGAGAAAGTCATTTTCCTCTCGGCTAGACAAGAAAATAACTGCATGCAGTCAGACAAGTGCCACTTGCTTCCAAATCACTCACCCTTCATAATGGTCACCATTTTCTTCTGGTTTGGGGTAGACACCTTCTGTGATACAGCACTGATGGCTTTGCTCCG